CTTGCTTGGCTTAACTTTTGTAATCCTTTGCGTAGCTTCCAAGCATTTTAACTGTTAATTCGCTGTTTTTCATTGCTTTGATGAAAGGCTGCCCATAAGGGCAGGCTCGTGCACCCTGCGATGGGCAACGCTCCCGCGCGGCCGGAGGGGCCGCTCCGGGCTCGGGGCCACGGGGCCGCGTCTCACCCAGAGCTGCTGCTGCTCCTTCCCCTGCGGCCCCGGGCACCTAGACCGCCCCACAGACCTCCTCCCACTGGGCACCTTCACTGGGAAGTTTGTGTTTGTGCAAACCATTCTCTCTGCTTAAGCAGGAGCGTTTGAGCACTGTGAATCCATCAGGATTTGAAGGGACTCTTCAAGTGGATAGGAAAAATAGAACACCCTTTTAATAACAGAGAAAGGAGTTCCATGAGTAGGCAGATCAGTCGATCCATGCTGAAGTGTTGAGAGGAACAGAAATCAAAGTTTTATTCCAAAAATAACATTTATTAGTGACAATTTTAGGGGGCTTCTTATTCATATGAAAATAGTAACACTCCTGTCCGATTAATGTGTCTATCATTAATCTTATTGTGCATAACCCAAAATGTTATACACAGAGGATTCACAAGAAGCCATTTTGATACTGAATTAAAAAAAAAAATCTCACTTCCATTATCTTAAGCATGAGTCATTAGTAATTACAGCAAAACCGGCAGGACCACGGACATTTGCTGTACACAGCACAGGAAAATGCAATCCATATGTATGCAGCAAATAAGACACTGTATGCTGGAAAAATATCATAAAACACTATTATTGCAATATTATTGCACCCTGCTTCTCAGTCACTAAAGAAAACTGCAACTAACTATCACCATCTAGAGGAAAAATAAAAATGCAAAAGTGTTTTTCTTATCTGATCTGGATTCTGTCTACAGATATACTAGGCAAGAAATCACTTTCTAATGCAGCCTATCTGACAGAGCAGCACCTGCAGCACCCAGCCTAAGGAATCCTAAGGAAGTTTGCTGGTTTTCTACCACCTTCCTAAAATTTCTTCTAATTTGCTCTTAGACTTCCCTGACTTCTTTTTAAAAGCTGTGCCACTTGGGTACCAGAAGATTCTACGTAGCTACGTGAAGGGACCGATCCCTCACCAGCTCCTGCAGCCTTGAGCTCCTGGTGAAGAGGTGAAGCTGGAGGTTAATTATCTACTCAATAACTTCTGCTACTGATATTTCAATTTAAGATAATTCTTCGGAGGAACAGGCCAGAATGAAAACCTCCATAGTGAATAGAGATAAAAACAACAACTACCACCACCTTCCTTTTTTCATTAATATTATATGTTCTCTGAGACTTCCCTTTATAGCTTTAATATTTGTCTTGCTGGCTTGACCAAGTGGTCTCTTTCTGACACAAGACAAAAGGCATCATTTAAATTTACATCTTTTGGAAGTTTTTCCATAAACTTTTCCTTGATCCCCACACATTAGTTTTATATTTATATCCTCTCTATAGAAAAATACATAAAAAGTATTTATATATATAAATAAATACACACAAATATTTATAGCCTCTAAAAGTTACAAGCTATCTTGTTTCCATCCTTTGGAGATTACTTAAAAATTTTTGAAAACAAACACACAATCTGCTTCTAATAACTTACTTCCCTTACTTGCTGCTGAGCAATCCTCCACGGCGTCTGCTCTTTTCCCAGTCTTTAAATACGTCACCCATTTGCTTTCAGCAATAGCTCAGTTTTTAAGTAGTCTCCTTGATGCCCACAAACCATCTCAGCTGCTCCTTTCAGCGTTACTTCAAACTGGCTTCCTCACTTTGTGATTCTCTTTTTGGAATTAAGCATTACACAGTGCACTTTCTGCAGTTTAAATCGTAGTTTTACATTTACTTAAGTAGATATAGGATAGAAGCTGCTAATAGTGAAAGATGAAACAGGAAGCAAAGCCATCTAACCACTACATAGAGAAGAAAATCAACGGAATGGTTTCTCAGCAATTACTCTGTAACACTCACCAAAATATATTTGGATTTAATAGCCCTGCAGGAACAAAGAATGAAAATGTTTGTTTATTTAAATTCCTATTCCCATCCCAAACACCTGCTCTTCCATATATGCAAGCCCTCTGCTTTGCACTTTAAGTTCTCCTGTGATCTTCAAACGCCTGCAACCGAGTCCTACACGTTGGTCGTTACCCCTCCCGGGAACGTCCCCTCCGTCCCGGCAGTGTCCCCAGCCCTGGAGGTGTCCAAACCTGCGGCATCAGGACCAAGTTTCGGCACACGGTGCAGGCGGGGACCTTGGTACTATCAACGGGCTGCACGACTGCCACCAAGGAGCCTCCCTGCCCTTTGCACTGATACACTACAAGCATGTTTCCTACGTGGCTGACACGCAGTTATAAATTCACTTCCATTTTTCTTTGGATAAATAAATGATAAAACAGCAAAAGAAAAAGGTTTGCTACAAATACAACGGCTCTCAGAACCTAGCTCCGTTCTAATGGTCACTCCTAATCCTTGCCTCGGGATCAGTGCAGTCTGGTAAATACCCTCTTCCACAGCTTCACCATTGAAACCAACTCCTTGCAATCAGGAGCACATGTTTTAGAGACATTTAGCAAGAAAAATGCACAGTGCTGTGGTTAATGCTATTAGGGAACATATATAAGACTACAGTTCTATGAATTAATACCTTCGCCTCCAACTATAAAATGAAGCATATGTATCCAGCAAGCACATGACTACGTCTTTTGCCAGGGATGTGACAGCCACCCCAACTGCAGGCTTTCTTCATAGTGCTACACTATCCAGGAAAGTCTATTTAGGAAAACACCTTTAAAAATTGCAAAAAGCAAACTGATCTGCTAGACAGATACTCTTCTCTGTCACAATGTCATTACTGAGATCAAAAACCGTAGTGTGTGCTATTACTGTATTCTTCCATGAGGAAAGGTCTCAGCGGGTACCAAGATCACAGTTTCATAAAAATCACAAAAGTTTTAGGTCACATATAGATGCTATCTTCCCCCCACCCCTTTTTTTGGTGGTGGTGTTAATATTAAAAGACAAAGTTAGGAAATGCACAGCCTTCTCCAGAGGTGGAACTCTGTAATACTCTGCGCTGTCCTGCAATTAAATGCAAACTAAAACTGCTCTGATTAAAGACATTCCTATCATAACTTAAGTAAACATAAGTAAACATACATAAGTAAAATTACAAGTAGAAACTAAAACTGCTCTGATTAAAGACATGCCTATCATAACTTAAAATCTAGCTCTACTATCAGTAAAATTACAAGTAATCAACAAAATTCTTGAAATACCTAAATGAACAGTAGCAAACACACCTTGCAGTTTCATGGAGCAGAAGATGATTTGACATTTAACTTATAGGATGCAAAATAAACTAGATTTTTCCAAATGACAACTGACTTGGAATTTATCAAATATGAGTGAACACTTTAAAGCAGTATTCCTTAAACTCAAAAGCACTGAGATATCCTGTGAAGCACTTCTAGATCCCATCAGCTGAATGAAGCATCATAGAGCACCAGGACTCTTCCAATACCATTTGCTATTTACCATTTAATGTTAAAGGCATTCAACAGCCTTGTGATCTGCTTCTGGCCTACATATCAACCTCTTAGCAGCAGATTTGTTGAAGGAATCACAAGAAGTGCTGAGCACTGAAGTTCCCACTGTCTTGAAAGAGTCAGACAAGGGCATCTTTGCTAGACTGCTGAGCAACGTGGCCAGGAGATCTGCAAAGTCAGGGTAAGGGAGATCACAAGCCATAGCTGAGTAAAGAAACGGTGGGTTGGGTACAAAGTGGCACGTGGTGATGGAAACTAGGGAGACACAAGAGACAGCAACACGAGACGAGCCTGGGAAACAAGTAGGAAGTACCCGAGCTGCATCTGCAGCCAAGGAACTGCAACATCAGGGGCCTTGCAGTGCTTTCTGTGCTAGCACAATCGTGACTGATTCTGCAGCCTGTGACACAGGAGGATGTGGGAAAGACACAGAGAATTAGCAAAGATAATCACAATTGTCACCACGTTCCATTTCCACAAGCATTTGTATACCTGAATTTTTCATTAATTGATTATTCAATGCTTTTTAATGAATTCCTGACAGTTTGGTATTGCCAGCTGTTCTTTTGTTAGCTAATTCCTTATTTTTCATTGTCTTTTGCTAGCACGAAGGATGGTTTGCCTGCATTTTTCAGCTACTAGCTAACATTTCATAAATGATTCAAAATTCTCTAGAAATCATTGTTCCAAGTGGGAAAGGATTGTTGATGAGCTTCAGACGTTTTGTTTAGAGCTGAAGAAATAAGGGTGAAACAGGGAAGAGGATTTTTTTTGGCAGCAGAAACAATTCATAAATAAATACAGACGTATTGGGAGAGCACACTGCAGGGCTATTTGAAGTTTGTCTATCTAAAGAGGGCCTGTTTGTTCGGAAACTGAGGATGCTCATCTCGAAGAATGGGACGGGCCTGCAGCGCTCCAAGCGGGTCAGAGCACAAATCCTCACTTAGGGCTGGCAGGAGCAGAACCCACTATGGACACGTCCCATGACACGCAGGGAGGGCTGCTGCTGCACTGAGCAAAATGTTTTTGAGTGAGCCACTAAGGTGACGTCATATCTGTCTTTACAAACTTCATACATAAGAAAATAGGCAGTATTTCTGGTCACTGATGTCCCAAAAATGAGTCAGAATATTTGCAAGCACATGCAAGAAGGCATTACTGATCACTGCTGAACGGCCCTGCGGTCTGTCCTCTGCAATCTTTTCTTTAAACATGCTTTTATTCATCTATTAAGAAGCAACCCTCAAAACAGACCACTTTTATCATCAAAAATATAAATGCTGCTATTTATTAGTGCCATTTTTTTTTAGAAAGTGATTAAGATACTTCAATTATTAAAATGTTGCATTTCAGTCAGCTACCTCATCTATATTATCTCTGTTAGAAAGTATTACTTACCTGATAAACATGGAATGCATTAGCAGCTTTTCCACGCAGAAAGACCGAAGGAATCCAAACATTAATAAGAGCACGATTTGATCTGAGCAGGAAAGACAAAAGCGTAAAATAGGGAAACACGTCGAGACAGAATTAAAAAGTAACAACCTTTGGTGATTTTGATACTGATCAAAGCGATCAACAAGGCAACCCAACATTTCAAATGGAGTATCAGAAAAATCGTACTGCTGCCTGAACATTTTATAATTGCTATAGCTAGAATTCTTCTCTTAAGCTAACATAACTGAAAAAAGCAATGAAATAATTTCCTTCACTTTTCTGTGGTTTGTGTTTGACAATACACAGGAAACAGAAGAACTGACTCATTTCAGGGAACTGAGCCGGAGAGAGAAAAGTTTAATACAGAGAATCATGTTTATATATAAAAATTAAAAAGTAACAGCCTCCAGTTTTCGGAGAGTGATCAAAGTGATCAACAAAGCACACATGCTACTTCCCTCCCAGCTCTCCCAACCTCCAGCAATTTTCAGGTCAGGGGGCCTCTTGAGCAAAATGTGGTTCTGCATATTTAGTAACCCTTAGCAGATTTCTTTTCCAGGTGTATGGATAACACACTCCCATACATTCTCTTGGTAATTTATTTTGACTTGTAATTTTCATTTATTTCAAATATGATAAAAAGACATTAGCTACTTTTTCACCCCTCCACCTACAGGAAACTCTATGCATTAGTTTGAGTAAGAAAGGCAAAGCTTCAATAATATGGATGACCTTAGGCAGTGTTTTATTTTTAGTATATATTATCTGTGTGCAAAGTCTAAGAGTTGCCACACAAAAATAAGAAACACCATCAAATTACTAGCAGTATGCATTTTCTTTCAAATTCAAAGCAATAATACACGACTTTTCGGTCCTGTCATTAGAATCATGTTGTTTTCTATTTGATTACTACCAGGTACCACAGCTACCAAAAACGACTGCATTGAAAGAATTTAGCTTAAGGAAAAAAACACTCACAGGAGAATCTTCTTGAATCTAAACTCATTGCGTTCAACATTATTCAAAAACTAAACCAGCATCTGAAGTGTGGAGCTCTCTGTACTTTCCAACCATGGAACACCACAACTGAGAATTTGGTTATTGGAAATAACATAGAAAAAAAACCAAATTCTTTAATCTGTTTGCTTGTTCTTCATTCCCATAAAGACAGCACAGAGAGAAAAACGCATTTTAAACAACTTACATTTCAAAATCTGACAAACTCTGATCTTCAGACGTTTGACTCAAATCTCCGGGGACCTATATCGACAAAACAGAAACAAATTCCACATGCTGGTTATTTTGCTTTCTCTTAAGAAATCATAGTGTTATAAGGAAATTACAATTCAAAACTTAGGTTTTTAAATGCTAGTGAAAAAACCTATTACTGGAAAACAATTAAAGAAAAATAAAAGACTGTAAAAAGTAGCATGAACATATCATCCTTGTGAGCTCTCAGAGTAAGAATTTTCTATAGCTTTGTAAAGAGACAATTGGGATTGGTAAGAGCATGTAATTTTGAAAGGTTAAAAAAAAAAAAAAAAAAAAAAAAAAAAAAAAAAAAAGCTTGAAATCTAATTATCTAAAATATGCTAACTGGTAATATTTCTACTGCAAGACCTAAGCTGATTTTGCCTGTTCACTCTTCAAGGAAGCACCTAAACGAAGGCAGAGCTGTGGTTTGCATCACGGCTGCAGAAACCCCACCGTGTTTTCTGCCTCGTGCACAAGCGGCCTGACCCAGGCCTTGTGGCCCCGCTGGCCTGCGTGACCATCAGCCTCGAGACCGGCCAAGGAGGCGGCCGCCGCTCGGCCCCCCTTCGGATCAGGGAGCCCTCACGACCCTTCCTCCAGCTCCCAACCTGCAGCAGTTCTCACCCCAGGGGCTTCTTCAGCAAATTGTGGTTTCATGTATTTGGCAGCCTCCTTAATGAATTATCTTTCCAGGTACTTGCCAAATGTTTGGTAAGAAGAGCTGCACAGCCCGATGGCAGCACGAAGCAGCCTGAAAAATTGCCTGTAGTTTGGTTGAATCTACTTATGAGCGGGGGATGCCACAAAGAGCTTATCTCCATCCACTGCCCACCATTCCACAGGTCTCTCCCTTCCTTTTCCAGGAACCTGCTGTAATTTTCCTGTATCATTTTTGAGATGAAGGGACAAAAACTACGGATAACTCAGAGTGGAATAAAGCTTTTGGAATAAGGGGATTTATATAGTAACAAAAGTTTCCACAGATGGACAAAGTTCTCCATTCCATTCTCTAGCAAACACTGATATGTCTTGCTTGGCTAAGAGACTCATAACTCATAAGGAAATTAAGTTTTATTTTCAAGGCCTTGCAAATGGAGAGAGCTGAAAGCTGAAATTCTCATTTAAAAGACAAGGTGCATAACAGAGCGCTGGTTCAGTGCCTATTAGTACCCACGATCCTTTCATCCTTGCTCCCCCTGTGTGCGTGTGTTCACAAGATGTTTTCAGTTGGTTTGTGTTTGATTTAAGCAGATTATTCATAAACATTTATGACCTCAGGGCATCCTCAGTCTCTCGTGTGACCAAAAAAAAAAAAAAACACACACATACAAAAAGAAGCTTTACAATAGGCAGCATAATTACTACAGCTACTACAGCGTTTTCCTGAAGACAAATGCTGGTAGCTCAAGGGAGAAACCTAATAAAACCTAAGCCAAAACTGGATGTCTCAAGGCATTTGTCCTACAGAGCAGCAGCACCATCACACCGCATCTGTATAGGGCATAGTTCACTCTACACAATTAAGCAAATTATCTTTAAAATCTCCAAAGATCTCCAAGTGTTACCATTTAAACCTAAAGAAAAATACAACCCCCCAAAATATCAGTTTGTCCATAGCCATCAGCAGACGAAGTAAAATTGCACATTCTGTGACAGGGAAAAATAATAATAATCCTGTAAAAGGGAAAAGTAAGTGAAGAGAGAAAATATTAAGGAAAAAAAAAAAAACCTATGATGAGAGGAATAAAAAGGAAATACTAGAGACAGCAGCAGCTGAAGAAGTAAAGCCAGCTACAAAGGCCAAGGGTCTAGCAAAAAAGAAATGCACTCAAAGATCTGAAATTAGTTCTAACCCAAGTTAGAACATTCAGCATTTGAGCTGAGTATTTCAGAAACGAGTCTTTGATTTGTCTGTTCCTTCATGTTACCAATTCAAATTTCACTCTTAAATACATCTTTTTTTCTCCAGCTCTCCTTCTCTTTACTTTCATCATTACCTGGGATTGATATTTTTCCTAACACATCTCATGATTGAAAAAGAGTAGGACTATAGATGGATGTTGTTATACCTTGTTTTATGTTATTTGGCCTGATAGTGAGGTTAGCTCAATCAGTTTCAGGAATGCATAACATGCTGGCATGGAATTACAGTGAAAAAAAAATAGAATTTGAGACTGAAAAATGATATGCATTATAGAGCCTTATTAATCACATATACCTATCTTTCTTGCTCTCTTTTTCTCTAAGAAAAAAAAAAAGTAGTAGTTCCATAAATATTCCATCAAGAAAATGCTTAGTTTTGTTCATGAAGATTAATTTATCTTCATTGTTCATGAAGATAATTCAAACTACATAATATCAATCAATTAACACCATCAATTTAAAATACTGTTAAATGATATTTTAATTGTAAGAAACAGCAATACTTGAAATAAACAGAACACACACAACTGGCCCCAAAAGCAGTGACGTCAAACCCACCTATCAATAATTTAAATGGCTCCAGGTAGAACAGTGTGTAGAAGTCTGAATACGTTTTATAAGAAGTTTTGAATTAAATTATTTTGTCCTACTGAAAAAAATAGATAGTCCAATACCTGATTTTAGCAGTTTATAAATACCTAATTGCTTCATTAGTGTATGTGGATGCATGATAAAAAACAAAATCTCTGAATAAGGACATAAAGCTTATAACCTCTGAACACAGTAGAGCCATGTGATTTAGTATTTGTCATTTTTAGCACAATCGTGTGATTGTTTGCTCATGGAAGTGTAAAAACAATAAATCAAATCCTGCTTCCCTTACAAACACAGGGCTCTCGGCCCCTTTACGTAAGCGTTCTGCTACAATAAGCATGAATGTGTCCAGTGCAAGCAAAAACCACACGATGCAACTCCCAAAACGCACTAGCCCGAGCACACAAGTACTAGGGACTCCTCTTGTTTCTTCCCTGCTCATCTTCACATTTCAACCCAACTTCTTCTTCTAACCCAATGGGGAAAGCAATAGCTGAGGGAAAGCAAGTCTACGTGGGATATTCAACCATTGGTGTCTTTTAAACCAACTAATCCTCCTTCTTAGCTATTAGTTCCCATAACCTAGTGTATATATGTATACCATTACCTAAGGAAAAAAAGGTTGCATTCAACAGGGCAATACACAAACCAGTCCCCTTAAAACACTTACTGGCCCTCTCAAATCAATCAGTTCTTGTCTCATCTGGGATACAAGGGCTTCTTTAGCCATCAGAGCACGGTGCAGCCTCTCATTGAATTCAATCAGCTCTCCATGCATTTCAGCCACCTGAAAAACAAAGCCAAAACACAGGTAAATATCCTCTAACATAAAACCAAACACAGACCCAACAACATAAAACCAACATGGAACTCAGGGACTCAGACACCTGCCACATCTCCTCTAGTTTTTCCAAGGTTCACTACATTGCACGCTGCCCTTTTCTTCAACCCCCAACTCTTCCATCTCCCTCCTTCCCAACAAAATTTCCCCCCAAAGTTGTTGAATTTGTTTTGTTTAACTTAGTGCTGGCAAACAGGAATGACCCGCTTTGCTCTGTTCCCTTCACTTAATCAAAGGAAATATGGAGAAAAAAAAAAAAAAAAAAAAAAAAAAACACAACAAAAAAAATAACAGGTCCACTTTGACAAGTCAGGAGTTTATATCACTAACACACAAAAATAGATAAATGAAGTTGGATTGTTCTTTTCAGATTCCTTTTCTTTTGGAGGGAGTTCCTCAAATCCAGCACCTTAGCAGTTGCTGTATGGGCATAAAGAGGCAAGCCCAGATACGACGCGTCTGGGTACGATCTGACGGCGGCGCCTACGTGACACCTCAGAGCCACCCTTTAATTTACAAACTGAAATCTGTGGCTAACTACAAGCGAAAGATCAGGACAAGTAACTGCATTAAGCATTAACTTCCTTTGTAAAGGGTCTATGAAAGTACAAAAATCCAAAGCTTTCACAGAGTGATTATTTCACTCCAAACATTTATTCTCTTGCCTGATTACACGAAGGGTTTTAGATTAACATTGACATTTTGCATTATGCCTCACAGTATAAAAAGCTCGCGTGTCTGACAGCCGTGTGTTTTGCTGCTCCTCACTTCCAAAGAGCAAAGGCTTCATGTGGCAATAATGAACTTTGTGAAAATATTCACAAAGATTTTGCTATTTGGTGTACTACCGCAGTTTTAATTTACTGCTTTTACCTTCTTCCTTGTCAAGCATTTCTGTTGTATTTAATCCCATTAGAAAAATTAACTTCCAAGGCTAACTTGATTTAATAATTAGATTATTTTCTGGCTCCTCCTGATAAAAGTCAGAACATCACAACTTCCACGCTAATATTTAAAGGCATTATGCACTCACAAACTATTAATTCAACAACAGCCTGGAAGAAAAACATTATTTATCTTTGAGCACTTGTTAGCAACGAGTAAACTTATTCTGTGAACACAAACCACATGTAAATCCCCAGGAACGTCGACACTGTAACTAGCCCAGTGGATGCCACTTAGTAAGCTGTTCCCAAGCTTGCTTTGGGGCGGAAGCTTGATGAGTTTGGAACTCCTGTGCACAAAGGGAATTGCCAACACCGCTAGGCAGGTAAAGCAGAGCGCTGCTGCCCCCGCACAAAAACACACCTGAGCAGCCCGGTCTGCTGGGCGTCCACACCATGGCCACGTTTACACACGGATACAAACCCCAGCAGCTTCGAGGCATGTTTTATCTTTCAGTCCCTAGCAGAAGGGCAAAACAAAATATCCCATACAATCTTTGGCTTCTTTTCTCTCTCTCTCTCTAAATGGGATGCCCACAAAATAAGCCTTCTGCCTGCAGACTGGATTGAAACCTAAATTCAACAGCTCTCAAAGCAGCACTAGTAGCACAAAGATAGATACAACCCCCAGCAAAATCAAATCGTAATCAAGAGATACCCATCAAATCAGAGTGCTGAATTACTTGTTATATATATCTTTACAAGGACAAACTTATAGCTCGGTTGCTTGGGAATATTATTGCTACTGGTAATTAAGCTCCTTGAATATGTGTGCAAGAAAAAAATATTAAAAGCATGCTGAACTAAACAGCAATGAGATGCACTTCTGAACAACATAATATAGATTGCTCTGTCCTCCCTTCACCAGCCATATTTCTCTTTTAAGAATAATTTGGTCAATTTTTCTTTTTTATTCATACCAGTGCATAAGTTATGTTTCATGGGAAAAATCATTTTAAAATCATATTGATTTTAACGATATTTTTTAATTGGATTTCTTCATGTGTACAGCTGGGTACTATATAGTTCCACGGAGTCCTTTTTCCTTTGGCAAGGAAACAAATTTCTGAGAGTTAAAGGAAGAATTTTGAGAACCAGGTTTTGTTTGTCATTTGATTTCTTTAAAACTGTGCCCACAAATTAAAAACCCAGACGCACTCAACTCACAGTGATTTCCAACCAGACTTGCCCAAGTCTTTACTGTGGAGAAGTGAGACTCATACATGAAATATCTGCAGGACACCTGGTTACCAGCACCTCCAAGACCTGCTCTCCATCACGTTGCGCACGAGCAGCCAGGGACACGCTGGGAGAGAAACACACTTGAATTCCCAACAGAAAGCTGTTAATGAGTTAAGGCTTTTTTTAAAGAGTTTTAAAACAACAGTAATTTGCAGTTAAAACTTTTTTACATTTTTTTGCATGTGCTTTATTTGAATTTAGGGCTGTTTGTCAGGTATTCCCCCTTAAAATCATCATAAAACCAGGAACTTTTTCAATTCAAAATCCAAAGCAACTCATTTTCCAAATACCCCTGGGCAGAAGCTGCTCCCCTTTGCTTCCAGCAGAAGAAAGGCTATATTTTCTCCATGAAAAGATGCCCCGTTTCAAAACAGAAATTCTCCTCCATTTTCCCCAATAGCAATAAAATCAATTGTCACCAAAAACGCGCGAGCGTCCTACTGGGTACAACTCATTAGCACTCCAAATGCCTCGTGCTGATGCCAAGCCAACTCGTACCTACTCAAAAGTATCTTCTCCCTCTGGTATTCCGAAAGCTTTCCTGAGGTCGTAGCAACCTTCTGCACTATTTGAATATACAGTTGAATTTTGCTGTTACTTTGCCCCTGCCTCGAGGAAACGTTCGGCGCCAACGAGGGCTCGTTCGGCCCACTCGTCCCTGGAGGCACGATGCTCGGGCAGCAGTTGTACCAGCATTTTTGGCTAGCATCAAGTAATTAAAATAAAACTTATCTCCCAGTTCCAGCCTGAGGATAACTCTGCCATAACAACTGCAGCCAACATTCACGGAATCATTTCAATTTGGCTCTGAACTGCACTATAACCCAGGCAGAATTCTCTGCTTAATAATTCAAGACAACTGTATTTATGTGACCATAAAATGGCTAGTCCCTGCTTTCCTCTCTGCTGCTCCGCTCACCTTTTCTGTTGTTGTCATACCTATCTGCAAGCAATTTGATCCAAGACAGACTGAAATATCCACTTATTTAATTTTATTTTAAGAAAAGGTGCATTGGGGAAGCACGTGGCTGTTCATCAAAACCAAGAAGAAAATAAACAGCGGCTTTCTTCTCAAAACACAGTTTCAGCTAATGTACCAAAAGCCTATTCAAAAGCTTGTGGATGAAATTAAGCAACCAGGATACATAAGAATAAACTCACATAGCAGAGCTACTATCAGGAGACCACTGCACACTGATGTTCCACCTCCCACCATTAAGATGATAAGCCTTGCAACTGCACTTTATTGCATTCTGAAATCACGGACTAAAATAAAAAGGCAATATTACATTGCACAGAAGATCAGCCAGTTTAAATCACTCTGTTGTGTCAAAATTTTAAAGAAGCTGAAGGATTAATGTTGCCTAGCAGGCTTTACAGCTGATGGGGCACTAATATCCTCCCGCGAGTTGCACAGAGCCACCAAAAGGCAAACGCTGGCACCGAGGTTGTACTCGGTGTTCCAGCCACACGAGTTTGGTTCCATGCAGGCTCCGCACTAAACCCGTGAGCCCTGCTGACCTGACCTCACACAGCCTTGGCACAAGCACAACGGGGCATTTCCCCAGCTCCCCAGATTCCTCCTTGCTATAGACTGCATGTTTGGACACACCAGAAAAACCCTACCCACAGCATCACCCACCTCTCTAGGGCCCTGGTTTTCTCTCCTGTATAGTAAACCATGGTAGGAAACAGAGTGCTGCTTAAACTCTTGTCAATCCACAGCTTTACTCTTCTGCAGACAACAAGTTCTGGTGCCCTGTCCCGTTGCCAGCAAGGCTGTGGGCTCCGCAAGCACCACTGGTCCTTTTCCCTTCAATCAAACAAGATGATATAAGAAGTCAGTGGCTGTTTAAGCTGTGATTGCCCAAGACTCTGTGACCTCAAAACACAGTGTATGTTTCACCTAAGTAGCTCTGTCCATTTGTTCTCAAGTGATTTGGTATAACAAAAGAGACAGCCTTTCCCTGGAACTCTTGCTTCCGTAGCATTAACCTGTAACAGTCAAAACACAGTGGGTAAGATAAGAAACAGCCACAGTTCTCAGTAAATGCCACGATTCACTTCCCCCCTCCCCCCGCAAAAGAACTTGCAGAAGAGTTGAATCCTCCTCAGTGTATTTACTGTAACCTGAATATAAGCAGCAGTGACTCAGAACGAAGTTAGTTTGCAAAGAAGAGACAAAAACCTGGCCAGTAACAGCCGGATGCACCAGGGACACAGCGGCTCACGCGTGAGTCGTCCCTTCGCCTCCAAAAGGAGAACAGCTCATCCTGTCACCAGCGACGAGCCTGCCACTTAGAGACATTGGACATCTCATTTGCAGAGTTACACCTGATTCTTCAAAAGGTGCATAAAATCAGCTCTTGCCAATTCACTTTAGGTACTGTTGCATTTAGCACTTTACCTATGCACAAATCAAGTGATTTGTGGGCAGAGCGAGCTGGATGTTTTGAAGCAGGTGAGACTGTTCCTGCAGCACAAGCGAAGCCTCGTCGCTGTCATCACATGCTAAAGTAGCACTTCAGGCAGACCTAACCAACTGGCCACATCATCCAAATGCCCCATATTTCCGTTTCCTAAATGGAAATTCTAAAGAAAGTGGTAACAATATATCCTACCAAACTGAAAGTCAGTTTTACAAAGCTCCTGACATGACGTGGCCAAGTTTTTACTGAGCTAGAATACAGTAAGGATTTTGCTCAGAGAAGGAATCACAAAGGTTTTTTTAATACAGAGAACAAAAAACCTGCGTGTTTCATCAGGAACACACATGATATTCTCACTTTTAGAATTTCTCCCATCTTTGAAACTTTAATTACATGATGGAAAAAGAAAAAATCTTTAAGTAAAAACTCTTTAAATAAATAATTTTTAAAAATCGGAATAAAATTATCTCACAATGCATCTCCAGCTTCTTAAAGACATTGGAAAGCCATCTTACAAACTTGCCTTTTACTAAAAAGAAAGGTCAAATGTTTAGAATTTCCTTAAAAGATGACCTATTCCATTAGGGCAGGACACTCCCCAGTTTATTCGTTTTGTATAATTGCTTGTTCAGAGAAGCTTAATATAGTTTAACCATTTGAGCAATTTTAAATGAAATTGAGTAAGTTAAAATGAAAATTCAGCCCAAATTGCACCTTGAAGGGGGAAAAAAAAAAAAAAGAAAGAAAGAAAAAAAATATATATATACACATCAGCATGTTTGAGGCCTCGGGATACAACCAGCCAAATAATTACTTGTTCTGCAAATACAGAAGTCATCACAATCAATGAATATTCTGCAGGATGGCCAAAGTTTAATTTTAATACCTAAAATTATCTTTCAAGGATATTTTTCCCATGTTTGACACAATCCAGCGTTTCAGGAAAGCTGTGCAGCGTGTCAGGAGTTTAGCAACGTTACTCCTCACCTCCCCGACAGCCATCGGATCTCACAAACACCCAACAGCCACAAGGGACCCCCGAGCTCTAACCCACTGCGCCGCTCCCGGTGAACGTGAACGTGGACCACGTCCGGGGCGCACACGAGGAGCGCCGCGATCTCCCACGGGAGGAAAGCAGCTTTACAGGCGGGCAGGCGGGCCCTGAGGAGCTCCAGCCTCTTCTCAAGCTCATTTCAGTTTGCATCTACATTCCTTTACAATATACATTTCTGCCTGGAGATGAAGGATTAACATATTGTGGTAAGAGCCTCAATATTAAAAGAAAAAGAAATTATTCCAGCAGAGGTCCTAATTTTCTCATTCCCTTGCCCAGTAGGAATAATCTATGCCAGGAAACAGAAAACACAACCGTTATCTATTGAGTCTTTAACAGAGCTTTCATAATACAATTTAGCACATCGGGAGCAGAACTTGCAACTTAATTTCAGTGTAGTGCAAGCTAAAGCTCAACAACAAACAACAGAATATGGAATTGTAAAATCCTGAAACTGCAAAAAAAGCTAAAATCCTCATCTCTCTAATGAGATATATTTACTAGTTCATTATAGACTAAAGCCACAAAAGCAAGAAGCACTAAGAGCAGAATCTCTCACAGACAACAACGGAGCCCTAGGTCTGGGTGGATGCACAAACAGCGGTCGCAGCTGTTTCATTTTTTGCTTGTTTTGCTTCATTTTAAATCCTCGGCAATCTGAGGTCTAACAAGCGAGCAAGTCTTCAGTAATTACTTATTTTCAGGCTAGCTGCAATGCTGTGAAGAGCTCATCTCTCCTGCTGTGCCTAGCACAGGAAAGCTTCCCCTAACGCTCCCTTCCAAAACCTTACAGAAAAAACACAAAGCCAGTGGGGCCTTTTTCTAGCCTGCATACAGAAAACATGCAGCAAATTGAGCCACTGCTACACGAAACATCATTAAGCATCTTAAATTTTAAATGCATTTCATTAGTTACAACTTCAGAATTATACAAATTTTTCTAACATTCTTATTCTTCTAATACAAAACAGCATTACATATAGGAATTGCTAGGGGTATCCAAGGACTTCTGAAAAATCACACACGCTGCAAACCTGAAGTTAAAAAGAAATTATGAACCCGAGATGTAACAAACTTTGGCATCAAAAATAATTTATGAAGGTTTCTTACAAAAACGTCTAACACTGCTCTAAGCATTAAATGCAACAAAATATTTTTTAAGTTTCTTCATGCCTCCAGAATGTTCAGTTGCATTTTGCTTATCCTCTTATTAAATCTACTGGTTCACAGATTGTAATTAATGAGAGCACTTATACTAAATAAAAACTTCAGTATAAACGCAGTAAGAAACACGTCATGAACAAAATTCTTTCCAACTGAAAGGATAGCAAAAGAAAAAATTCCCTAAGTAATAGCTTTAACTTTTCCTCTATCTTCTCAGCAGCTACCAACGTCTCTTTGAGGGGATTTCAGTATTCCTGTTGGCTACCAAGAATTTTTCAAAACGATCTTTGTCTTCAGTTGAAAAAGTCTGCGAGGCCCAAGGTAGCAGTCACTAAAACTGCTTGAACGTGAACAATTTTCAGACCCAATTCTACCTTAATAGAGCTTTCAGAGCAGCACTCAAGAGCGACGTGTTTCCTATCCCTCCATTTCAAAAATAATGCAGTCTAACCTGGGAAAATAAGACTTCACTTTGCATCTTTCACATGCGGAGAAAAAAAGGATGATGATACTTGATAAATACTCGGATGATTACAGAGGTTACATCTCATTTTGTGTGTAGGAGCATATTGCTACAGACAAGGGAATGAGACTGAAATACAACTTCTGGGTGAGACATGAAGTTTTCAGCAAGTTACATCCACGGCTGTTGAACCGCTGCTACTGCTGATCTCTCCCACAAAACTCAGGAACATTACCAACAAATCTGAACAGCGAGGGAAAAGCTTCTGGAGAATTAAGGAGGAGGCTCTTAAAAATGCAATAAATTTAATCTCTGTTCTTAATTAAGATATGCTTTTGATAGATACAGAAGAGAAAAAGCGTTGAAAGGCCCCAACCGAAGGCATGCAGAAGGGAAAGGATTAGTTTGACATAGTCCTGTGGGAAGGAGATAGGGAAATACAAATGTTTTAGATGACCTGCTATTAATCTTTGATGTATGACCTGCATTTTTAGTCATCTTTAGGTAAGTCAGTTAATATGAATACCCAATTTCAGAGTATTTGGATAAGGGAAAGACAGGGTTGCTTTATTTTTTTATAAAAATGATCATTTAATATTTAACAGAAGATATGGGTATTAGATAATAAATTTCATTACATTTGTCTAGGAAATCATTTGTATTTAAATTTAAAATGAATCTCTAATCTTTCTCTTTTTTTTTCTTTGCATAATAAAGCAATATAAAAATGAAACTCACTACGGCACAATCAGAAAACAGTAGGAAAGCTACAGATTTCAGCAG